TGCCGGCGGAGAGTCAGCGAGGCCCACGGGGCCCAAAGCGACCGCGGGCAAGAGCCCTGGCCGTGGCCGCCAGCCTAGGTACCTGCTGGTGGTCTCTAAGTCTTGGCACCCCGTTCCTGGGATCATGGGCTCTCGAAGGAAATTCCCAGAAGGCTCCAGGCTGTCAGCACTCAGGGCAGCGCTCTATGTGGCCTTTAGAGTGGGCTGGGCCGTTCTTCCCCTGCAGGTGGCCCCGGGGTAACCAGTAGCAATCGCTGCCTTGCAAGGTGGGGGCAAGGTTTCCATACCCAAGGGGGCCATGCAGGGCCTCCCGACACCAGCGTTCTCTGACTGGGGTCTTTAACTCCAGATGCTGGAGACCAATTTCCTCTTTTCTGTGATAAGGGGAGGTTGGAGATTGGAGACCCTGCCGGGCACCCCTGTACCCTCAGCCCCTGCAGGTCTCAGGTCAGAGGCTGCCGGGGTGTCACGTGGTCACTACAGATCTTAAAGGGGAGATGGTCCCAGAGAGGGCAGGGGTTTGCCCAAGGACTCAGAGCCCCTGAAGTCCAGGCCATGGGCTTCCAGCTGGGGTCCGCCCACTACATCATCCTGCCTGTCAGCCGCCCGGGGAGGGCTCCTGAGTTCTAAGGAAAGGAGGGAATAAACGGGAAAGCCTTTTCTGAGCCAGGCCGATAGGACAGGCAGGTTTCCCGGGGGGACAATGGGAGGGGCGGTTCTAAAGTGGAGGGGCCCGCACAAGCAAAAGCATGGCAGCAGGACATCTGAGGTCTCGCGTGGGGAACTGCCAGGCCTCTCGGGTCAGGTCCGCAGGTGGTGGTGAGGCAGCGTCAGGGGCACAGCACTGAGCCAGTGCGGAGAGACAGGGAGGCCCAAAGGCCCTCGTAGGAGACGTGATGGACAGGAGGCAGAGGGCACCGCCACCCGGCCGAGCCGGTCTGCTGGCCGCTGGACACAGCCTTGTGAATGGCAGTGGCCTCCCAGGGGCGTAGCTCAGTGGTTGAGCATCTCTCTACCTATGGACCAGGAGGCAGCCAATCAGTGATTCTCACTCATCATGGATGTTTCGATCCTCTCTCCTTCTCCCTTCCTCTCCGAAATTAATCAAAATATTACAAAATAAAATAAAGGGGAGGCTTCATCCTGCCGTCTTCTGGGCCCAAGTTCAGTATCTGGACTTTCCCAGCCAGGCCTCTTCCTGCTCCTGTCCCACAGGAGGTATCTGACCGGTGGGGCTGGAGAGGAATTCTCCTCATTGGCCTCTCCCACCGCCCATGCTTCTTGTGTGCAGCGGGGGGAATGTAGGCCTGCCTCACCCTTGGGCACTCCCCATGCCCTGGAGTAGGATGAAGTCAGGCACCTCCCAGCGGGGTGGGGCTGAAGCCATGCCATCGGAGGGCAGGATGCCTCTGGCGCTTCAGGAGTGGGGAGAAAAATGTATGTCAGCAAGGCTTCCCGGAGCGGGGCCCAGACATCAGGGCGCAGGGAGGGGAATTCGGGCCAGACATGAGGAAGTGTTGGAATTCCCACCAGGGCTGGTGTGAGTAAGCTCAGTGGCTGCTGAGGTCGGGGTTTCTCCACCGTCCTGCCTCTGCCTGCCTGGTGGTTGAGCTCTTGCTGTGCGCCCGGCCTGCCTCCACAAGCCCTCACTGACTCCTCACAACGCCCCTTCCTTCCAGGGAGGAATGACTCTCCCATTTTGCAGGTGAGAACATTGAGGCTCAGGGAGAGGATGAAAGAGGCGAAGGGAGTTGTTACAGGTGTGAACCCAGCTTCTGAGCCTGAACTCCTAAATGGTGCCTTCTTCTGGGCCCAGCACTAGTGACTGGTTGTGTGACCCTGGGCAAGCCACGGACCCTCTGTGCTCTTTTCCTGGCGATGAGGGGCAAAGGAGTGACAGTTCTTTGCAGAGTCGCCTTGAAACCCACTTCGGGGAGCTTTCTAAATCGGGACCTGTGTTTGCCCTCAATGTGTCTCTGGAGCCTCAACTCCAGGATTTCTTCCCATCTGACACCCAAGAACACAAACAGAGGCCCCGTGGTTTTGTTCAGCCCAGAGGCAAGCAGCGAATCGGTGGCCAAGCTGGGAACAAACCTTTGGATTAAACAGCCCTGGGCCCCAGGCCAGGCTCTGTATGCGCCTCATCGCTGACCCTCCATTTCCTCATCTGTGAAGTGGGGATAGTAGTCGTCCCTGCCTCTCAGGGTTGGTGGGAGAATTAAATGAGCTAATACATGCATAGTGCCCAGCGAATGAATGCTGAATCAATGTCAGCTATTCTTTAATGATAACATAATAATAATGTTTTAGGTTAATCAGTGTACTCTGAGTGCATTCTCTGGGCCCCACCCTGTCTGCAGGGGCTACTTCTGGCCAGGGAGACATGGGTAACCAACAGCCATGAGGGGGTGGGGGGTAGGGCTATGATGGGGGAGGCCTCCTGGGGCTCAGAGGGTGCTTCAGGCAGCAGGAAGGTCAAAGAGGGAAGCAGAAAGCGGTTTGGGAGCCCAAAGGGGCTTCTGGAGGAGGTGGAGCTGAGCCGTGTCATGAAGGTCAAGTCGACTCCAGGCTGAGGAAGCTACTTGGGGAAGTGAAGTCCAGGACTGTGGCTGGAGGGTGGCGACTGGGTGGGGTTCAGGGTAGTGGGAGTTGAGGCTGCAGCTGCCGGTAGGCCTTGGCAGCGAGGCTGGGGGCTGCTGAGGTGGCGGTTTTAGGGAGACCCTTC